GAGCCAGAGTGAAATTTTGGATACGAGGTCAAGGTATACTGCACTGCACGTCGATTTGCGGGGACCATGGCCTCCCTCTTGAAAACGACGCTCAGCCAGATGGGACGGCACGCTGTAAATGCCACCCGTATCGGTACGAAGCAGGGTCTACCGTTTGTTGTTGCAAGTACCGGCAGTGGTAAGCACCCGAAGTGTATAGCGGTTATACTGACGCGAATTGAATGTGTATCCAGCTCATCGGTTTGGGGGCGCTTCATCGTTTCATTCATCTGTACCCGTGTCTGTCCAACAGTCTTGGCCACCTCCCCCTGCTCCTGTCGAGTCTACACGTAGCATTGCTAACCACGGATCGAATCAACACAGTCTTGAGACTCCCCGGAATGCCGGTGGTATGTTATCAGCGTCTCGATAATGGGGTATTCATGCGCTTCCCGGGCTCACACACGTTTAGAATATGTCATGACGACACTTGACAAGATCGCCAACTGGGGAAGGCAGGGTTCGATGTGGCCTGTTACATTCGGCCTTGCGTGCTGTGCCGTTGAGATGATGCATATGGCGGCCGCGCGTTACGACCAGGACAGGCTCGGTGTTATCTTCCGTGCTAGCCCTCGCCAGTGCGACATCATGATCGTGGCGGGTACGCTGACGAACAAAATGGCACCGGGGCTCCGTAAAGTGTACGATCAGATGCCAGAACCTCGTGCGTACTCTTTGTATAGCGCATGGTGAGTGACACTTGACGCTTGACGCTTGCGCAGGGTGGGTGATATCCATGGGTTCGTGCGCCAATGGTGGTGGTTACTATCACTACTCGTACTCCGTTGTGCGGGGTTGTGACCGTAAGTTGTTTCCTCGCGCAGGTGCCCTGCGTTCTCATCCTGTTCGAATCAGGAATTGTTCCTGTTGACATCTACGTTCCCGGTTGCCCGCCGACTGCTGAGGCACTTCTATATGGCATGCTGCAGCTGCAGCGCAAGATGCGCAGAAGTAGGAAGGCCGTGTTGTGGTGAGTGTCGTTTGGGTTGTTTTCCGCTGTCAACTGGGTAAGCTGATGGTAACCGGGACGGCAGGTACCGGAATTAGTTGCAGTAGAGTAGTGTCTCGTCTGTGTAGGCTACGTATGGTGAGGAGCTACATAGTCGCCTTTCGACGACGGGAGAGTGTGTCCTTTGTCTTTTATTTACAAAATGAACTGTTACTGGAAAAGACGAACTCGGTGCATGCAGCCCGTCGTCGGATCAGTGTGTGATGAGTTGGCGGCGCATGGCCGATGCGGTAACTTGCACCCTAACCGTTTGCTTCCCTCTTTGAATTTGAACGTTTGCATGTCCGAGTGAATCTCGCACATACGTGCTCTCATTTTCTACCATCTGCGTTCGTGTGGTCGCAGAAAAGACTGGCAAAAACTAGTCGTGCTGACGGCGGGGTTGTGCCCGTCGGGCTTCGTTTTTTGTCGTTCTTTTTTCCTTTCCTCGTCCGGAATTCCCGGATTTGCCACAGCGACCTCCACGACGACGATGGCAGCAGCGCTTCAGTCCCCAGGCCCGGACCGTGGGCAGGCGGGGCTTCACGCGGTGGCCGATTTTTACAACTACCAGGTTAATTTTCAGCCTCAGTTGCTGCCACTGGACTTTACGATAGGCGGTGCCGTCAAGTCCAGCACTGCAGCCCCTGCGCCGCTTCTGGGAACCGCAGATCGCCCGGCGCTAGCCAGCACATCCCATACGATTCCTAACGATGACCAGTGTTCTATTGACCGTGAGGCCCCACAGGAGGACGGTCCCCGGTTGGCCGTGGGTCCAAGATCGTCGCCGAACTCTGACGGTCAGTCCCGTGTATCCTATATCATTCCCCCGGCGAGCGCGCGTCGCGTAGTCGAACGTTACAGTCTTGACGAGCGGGTCGATGAAGTACAAATTGCGCCGTCGCGCTCGCCATCTGCAGGCGAGACACCGAACCCAACACCTCGACGCAACTCGCTACGTCTTCCTCCCGCTGGTAATCATAACAACAGTCCGATCCCTAACAGTGTCAACAATGTTGGTAATTACATGCCCCCAGTGTCGACGACCTACGATCCGCCCGTGTCATCTAATCCCCGCGCTACACCGCAGCAGCCGACATTTATAACGAATAATCCACCTCCTATGTCTCGCGCACCTCCCCAGGAGGAGGTGTGCATCGAATGTACCATGCGTGATCAGGATATGGCGGATGTGGACGTCACATCACCGGGTGTGTGGGACCGTGAGAGTGACGTCCTATATGAAGATCTCAAGCGGCGCGAGCAGGAGGAGGCAGCTACCGGCTCCCCTCCCGATGATCTCAACCGCCCCAAGTCCTATGGCGATAAATTAAGTGAGAAGAACCTGCGGCTATGGCTCGACATGGTGCGTGAATTTGAGTTGACCATGACACATCTTCGTTCGTCTAATCTCCCCATCCGCAGAATCCGAAAGAGCCTACTCAACGAGGCAGAACTATGAGTAAATATGTGAAGGCCCAACGCGCTCTCCTCGAGGCAGAAGCGCTTGCCCATGCGCAGGCCATGCAGGAAGCACGGCAGCTCGACTCCAAGATGCGCGACCGGTACTCGCAGTTGCGCCGTTCTGCATACGATCTCAAGGACTCGCATATCACGGACGAGGCGGGCGGCGTCCGTATCAGGCCGCCGCGCTCTCTCTCCAGCCCCTCCCACATGAAGTCGCATTCTCGTGACGTGACGCTACTGGAAAACGGCATGATAGTGGAGCACGTAGATGTGAAACGAGAAGAGCGCGAGGCCCGCGAACGTAGGAAGCGCGAGGAGAAGCGGGCCCGCAAGCTGTCGCGCGGTTCGGTTATGGACGTCACCTCGATTGCTTCTACACAAAGCTATGGCGGGCCGTTGACCGAATACGGCTTGAGGGCGTCGCACTACTCGCAAGCTGGATCACCCCGTCCAACAAGTACGCTCACGGCGCCGGCAGACCGTGCCATGTCTCAAGCTTCTTTCTCCGATGTGCACAGCTTGGGAACGCCTTCGTCGAGGATGTCGCGCTACTTCGGTCTCAAAAATATCAGCAGCTCGGGAATCCGGAGCAGAGACAGCCTAGCGCCGTCTGGAATGTCTGGCAGTATGATCGACATGCAGTAAGTGTACAAATTTTCCAAATGAAACATGTTACTTGAATCTTTTTTTTTCAGTGTGGCGCTTCAACGCGAAGCTGCACAAGCATATCCGCTGACACCAGATACGCTTGTCGACCTCAATTCTATACGGCATGATCAAGTATCCTTTCCAACTCAAAATGCTGAACGCACAGAGTCACAACCTTCCGGAAAGGCGAAGAAAAAGAAGGGTTGGGCTAAGGTGTGGAATAAGATGACAGGCGGGAGTAAGCGTGAATCCGCCTCTGGGAGAGCGACATCACAGGGTGAACCTACGGATGATGACCTCCCATTGGCACCTCCACCACCTCTGTCCTATCTCATGAGCAACCGTGGCCGCTCTTCCGACCTGTCTAGTCCATCTAGACTTACGTCTACACCTTCCCTTCCTTCCTTGACCTTCGCCTCACCGAAAGTGACTATGTCTTCATGTGCCGGTATGTCGTCTCCCGTGACGCCTTCAAGCACCATGGCTTCGCCTGTTTCCTTACGCATGTCTGGTCATGATCTAGACGTTCCTGCCATTCTTCGCAAGGCAAACGGGACATTCGATGAGCAAGGCCAATCTCGGATTCCCGATGAGGAAAGCAAGGGCCAGTTGCGGGTCCAACCCCGAATATCGGAGCCCGACATGCGGCGGCGGCTGTCGTCGAACCTGTCCAATGCACCGCCCGTACCGACTCTACCGACGATGAACTCTGCCACGAACACGCTGCCGAGACCAGGGTCTGTGCTCATGCGCGAGAAGGCCTTGCCTCCACTGCCAGCAGAAGCCCAGCAGCGACCCATGACTGCTGGTGTCCGTGATCCACGGCCGCGTACCTTGTTCACTTACGACCCACGGCATCTGCAGTCCGGTACCAGCCCCTCACATGGCCTCTTACCCCCTAGATCCCCTTTTCGAACTCCCGATTCTCGCCGTCAGTCCTTTAATGGACTGTCGAACCGCCTCAACGTCGCTCAGACTATGCCCGTTTCGGGTTACGACCCATCTGCCGTTGGGCAGTTTTATGATGACTTTGGTCGGTCCCGCCGGTCCCTAGGTCGGCTAGATTTCGCTGTCGCTAGCCCTAAGGCAGCGTCCGCACCACCTAGCAAGCGTAAGAGCAGATTCGGGCTTTCGGCGCTCCTTGGTGGTCGCAAGCGCGTTCCCTCGACGCAGCTGGGCTTGGAAACGGGCGACGGTGCGCATCCAAACGCGGATATACGCGTGTCGCGGGGGTCAGATGTCCATGACGATTCTGTCGGGTATGCAACATCGACGTCCCGGCATAGTGCGTTCAGCACGAGCGGCATGCAGACGCCGGGCTTGCGCGCGTCCATAGTTTCACGTAAGCCGTTGGAGGACTTAGTTGCCCAGGACCCGGAGTTCGTGGCATACCGCTATCCATCAAGTGAACAAAGGTTAGATCTCTTTCAGTGACACGAAGTTAATGCAATACTACTGCATTTGTCGACGCTATCTCCTCTCCCTGCCCTTCCCTTCCTGAGCATTAGGACTCTTACACTGTACTCGCTCACTCCCTCCCTCTAAAGTAATTTAATATTCACTGCACACGAGTCCTTTCGTTATTTTTCCCTTCCCGCTGTTTTTCCCACTCTCATTGACGTTGACGCCATCGAACGTTTCACGCTGCTGATATCCTGCAATTCCCTGGCTGTATAAATCGCGTTCATTAACTTGGACTTTTTTCATCTACTCACCTAAATATTCTTAAAATTGTTTTCGTTCTTCGTCTTTCTCGACCGATTTTGTCGTCTTGATTTTTTATTGTTTGTTGGGTTTTTCCCGCACATGGAGACCTGGAAAAGTCTCTGTGGACGACTGTCCGGAAAGAATAAATTATGGCCGTATAGCCAAGTGGTTACGGCGTTGCACTTGAATTTGTTCATGTTATGCAATCCACTATGTGGGCGTAGGTTCAAATCCTGCTGCGGTCGTTTTCTTTGACGAGCTTCAAGTGATACGCCATTATGTATGTTGTCACTCTAAAAGCGTTCTTTTTTCATGAGAAGACCAATGCAATGTTGTTGATGGTGAGCGATCACGTGTCGTGACTCCTTGAATTCACGCGTCGGGGGAAATCATGAATAATGATATGTAATCGTTGGTTTACACTTTCAGTAAGCAGCTGATCAATCTCACTGGGACTTGGTGAGCTCAACGCATTTCTCCTCGGAATGTTGCTCACTTTTCACCGCTTTGCAAGCCTTACTAGATTAAATCGTGCAGAAATGCCAATAACACGCAGTGCCTCTGCTTTGGCGGCTGCCGCGAGCCCTCGTAGCGTTGCGACTCCTGCAGACGATGGGGGGAAGGACGCAACGAGCAAGATACCCAGAAGCGCCTCTAAACGCAAGACGTCATCATCTGCTTCTAGTCCCAGGAAAAAGCCTAGGACACCGTTGTCCAGCTCGTCGACCTCGCTGCTCGAAAATGTCCCACCTGTTCCCCCGAAGCCCACAACGACAGACCATGTCGCAATTGTGCCTGCAGAATTGACGTTCTCTTTTGATTCTGCACGGGATCATCTTATACAGGCAGATCATCGGTTTGCAGATATTTTCGACAAGATGGAATGCCGCCCATTCCAGCATTTGGAACAGACCCACCCGTTTCGGTAAGCAATGATCTACCGGCATCCTGTGTCAATTCCATCCTACCTACCTCCCGCCCCTTGCAGTGCGCTTGCTACATCTATTATGTGGGTGAGCCTTGTATTTTTCCAGAATCCCGTTGACAATCCCGCGTAGTGGTCAACAAATAGCCTGGTCCGCTGCGCGTGCTATCCAGCACAAATTCATTAGGTTGTATGATCCCAGTCTACCGGAAAAGGTTGCAGATTACAAGTGAGTAATTCTATGCTTGAGTAGAATATCTTCGATGTAAATCTTTTCCCAGGGAGAGCAGGTCCCCAACCTCTTTTTTTCCTATTGCAGAGCATGTAGCGATCACCGATCCTGCGACGCTGAAAGCGGCTGGTCTCAGTGGCAGAAAGGCTGAATATAGTAAGTGTCTATGCAGCGTTCTACTAACTTGAGGACGTTCGAATATGAAAAACTACCCAGTCCGTGATTTGGCTCAAAAGTTCGCTGATGGCCATTTAACCACTGAGAAATTATTGGAAGCCAACGACGAAGACCTGGCGGAAATGCTTATCTCCGTTAAAGGAATAGGACGTGTGAGTTCAGTAACCATTCGTGATCCCCGAATCTGAACTGATCTATAATGTAACACCAGTGGACTGGCAAGACCTCCACTCGCAGCAGTCCACACACTATCTGATTAGTTTTTAGTTGACATGTTCGCTATGTTCTCCCTCCGTCGACCAGACATTCTTCCCGTCGGTCAGTTGATGCCCTCAGTGTTCTACATACAATCTCAAATTCTAATCTCTCAGGGGATCTTGGTGTTCAACGCGGTCTCATTCGATGGGTTCTAGCTCTACATTCGCCTGACCATCCGTTCTCCATGGCGCCGGATAAGGCGTCTCATGACAAGGGAAAAAACAAAGATGAAGCAAAGCCCGATGAAGATGACTCCATGCCGGCAAATGTGGAACTACCCAATAGCAGTGCAAATATCCCTTCAGTCGACTTGGAATCACCTTCTACGCCTTCCAATCCGAGTCACGCCGACGGCCCGCAGTCGCCCGCCTTCACACCTTCCGTCAGCAATATACTGCATAAAGTGGACGGATCGCCACCTCCGCTGCCGCAGGGCCTGACTGTCAGCGAGCTGAAACTGCGGCTGTCTGGAAAGAAAAAAATAAAGTGCGTAGTATTTGGTTGCGCGACAGTTCTGCGGTCTGAATACTGTCGAATAAATTATTTAGAGGTGCACTTCTCACTCCCGTCGAGATGGAGGAGCTCACGGAGAGCTGGAAGCCCTACAGGAGTTTAGGTACATTCTCGAAAAACCTCCTCGCTCTTGAAACGACTGACATCTATTGTGGTAGGCGTTTACTATATGTGGAGGCTCGCCGAAGGCAATTCCGCGTAAATTCTCAAAAGGTTGCGTCATCAGATAATTGAGTTATGTTGCCACAAGCAAGTTGTGTTTGACGTGTTATAAGCACCGCATAACATATTGTTATAGCCTCCATTTTAGAGGGCAGAAAATATTGAGTACTTATTCAATATATTTTAGTAAGGTAACTGCAAGCAAAAAGCGTATGAATAGTTTTACAAAGATGCTTGATATTTTTATCATATTTTTATTTAAGACAGTGCTTCATGAGAAGCTTTAGACGAAAGCTTTAGGCATGAGATGAACCAAGGTGATAAGTTAGTCTCAGTCTGCCGTAGTCAGACCTTATATAATTACGAGACCCTTACCCATCTGTATGTGTAGCAGGACACTCTCATCTGCTATCTACGCCATGACATATATCATGACTGAGTCATCCAGTCCGCCAAGTGGAGATACCCTTCGAACCAACTATCGCAGAGCCTGACGGTGAGGTGACCATGCAATAGTGTAGTAGCCAGGTCCCATGTTCCTCCCGCGTTTCACACAAGCTTTCGATGAATGTTCTGTTTCTCTATGTAACCTTAGCATCAATGTAATGTATATGATTCGTATGAACATAACTCAAGAAAATCATGTGCCATTGTCTGTCACTTGGAAGCATCAATGGTCCCCTTCGTCTTCCCACTGTGCTTCTTTGCAGTTTTCCTACGCTTTTTCTCCTGGTAGTTGGAATCCGGGTCACGAAGGTGGAGCTGTCTCACGGCCTTCTCAGCAGCTTCCAGGCGAACTTCATCTCGGCTGGCGCGTCCGCGAAGCTCGTGGGTCGCAATGGCTTCCTCTTCCCCATCTATTGAAATGATGCAGGTAATGCATCCCTTCTCTTGCACATATTCATACTGCAGCTCCTTCTCCTTCCTCGACGCCCACATGCCTAGCCGGGAAACAGGGTGCAGGACGTCGACGTCATCACTAATGATGCGCTCGAGGACAGGCAAGATTCCGAGCACTGTCATCGCCCTGCGCGCGACATCCAAGTCTCCGTGAGAGTCGAGAAATATCGCGCCCAGTATGCTCTCTACGATATCGCTGAAAAACTTGGGGGCCTGGAGTTGCGTCAAGGCGGCCCATGGGAAGAACTTCCCCGTTTGCAGCACCCCCTCGACCTCCGCCTGCACATGACGGAACCGGGCGGATGAGTTCGTCTGATCCTCGAGGATACGGGGACTGGAATGCTGCATGCACTGCCATAGATACATCTTTCGATTATCGGAGACTAGCTTGATCCCATTGCTAACGCCGGGTGTAGGCTTCGGAATCTGCGCCTCGACCGTAACAAAGAGTCTCAAGCACAAATACGCCAGGAAACTGCCGTTAACGACCGCAGAACGACGAAGCATAATGTGCCCCGGGCTGTAGTTTTTCTCGGAGCGGTACAGGATATCCGTGACGACCATGTCGAGGACGCTGTCTCCTAAAAATTCGAGACGTTCGTACGACGAGATGGGAGATTCTTCCTGGTAGCTGGCGTGCGTAAGCGCCTCGAGGAGCAGTGATTTGCGATGAAATATGTAGCCAAGCATACGTTCAATGTCCTCCAGAATAGAGGGATACTCGTCCAGCTCGACTGTTCTAGAAAGGATGGTCTCGATTCGCGTTGGGATGGAATCCCACTTCAGGCCCATTCCGAACAGTTTCAAGCATTCAAGGCTCAAAGAAAGGCCACCATGGAGATAAGCAGCACCGATTGTCGACTCAATTACATCAGCCAGGACTGGAAATTTCGTTGAGATTCGTCTTTCTCGGTAATTACGCAGCGAGTGTGAAAGCACGAACCTTTGGTGGATAACTGCTGTTTCTTCTGCTTCGGTCTGTCATGTTGGATATCTTCCTCTACACGTTCACTTGTCTCCGGGCTTGCCACTGGTCGAATCTCACTAGCGTGAGAGGGTTTCCATTTCTTGCCTACCAACCGGTCTACGTGCCTTCAGTCAGCGCTGACATGTGGCGATGAATATGGAAATACCTCGAATTATAAAACGATATACGCCACGAGCAATATTTTCTTTTGCCAACCTCACATTCGACACAGCATGATCCTTCTTTCGAGAAAGGTATCCTTCGTGCCATAGAGGATAGTCTGCGAGAAGCTGGAGACCTGCCGTATACTTCAGTACAGTGTCGCCAAGGGTCTCTAGCCTCTGATAATTTGTGCGTTCTTGGGCCACCGGTGCGCAAAGCGCCGTCGTGAGCAGCGGCAAGGGGATGGTGATCAGTGGCGTGGAAGCGAAAATGGTACTGCGCATGGTTTGCATGGTCATCGATAAAGCGAGAGAGCGAAGAACACAAGGCAACAGGAAACAGTATTCTATTTCAGCTGGAGAATGTAGAAGGACTGCCGAATATTCGGGCAGTAATAACTCAATCCTTCTCTCGGGAGAAGGACCATCGTGGGGAGGAACAGGAAGCAAGAAGTTAGTGCGAGCGGGATACGCCTCCACCTCCAGCACAGGGTACGAAACTTGCTGATATTCTAAGATGGTATATCTACCTGTGAGCTCTTCCATTTCCTTCTCGCTGAGAGGAGTATGTCGCCAGCGAACGAAACGGTAAGCCTTGCCGAACTTGAGCCCGTTTTTGATGCACGTCAAGTCATTGGGATATGCAAATGCCTTACCAAACGTCGCCGCATCCACCTGCGTTTGGTCGGCGTCAAGCTTGTCCAAAGATTTCAACAAATTCGCAAGCCAAGACCTGCGGGATTGCCACGACTCATCCCATTCCTGATCTACAGGCAAAAACAGGTAGGAAAAATCAAGATTGTTCCAATCCATGCGCGAGCCGTGGAACCCCCAGAACAGTCGCCGAGTGTATACACGTGCAGCGTCAATTTGGAGGGCATTGGATGCAAAAACAGAATGAAGTGGACGGAGTAGCACTTGCATCGGCGCCTGACGCGGACGACAAAGTG